GTTAACCCCAATAATCGTTACAGAGTTTAACCCAGTGTCTCGCCACTCAAGTACCACACACTCCACTCACTACTACACTCTCAGAGTCTAGCGCTGCACAACATCAGCCTCCCAGAGGCCAGCGCCATCCACCCAGATGCAGATCATGAACAACGAAGTAGTCTCCAGTGCCGAGGAGTCACTCTGACGATGAAGAAGGCAGCTATGGCTGCCTAGCTGCTACCGCAGCAATAGTACCCACATGTACTCTTTGAAGACCTCCYAGATAGTCCTGCCAACGCAGATATCCCCCAGGGGATAGATGCGCTGAGTACAGCCCCAGCTATGGCTGTCTCAGGTGGCGGGCTATGGCTGCTCCACTCACGGYTGATGTCTCCGGTGCCACTGCAGACATTCAGCGCTGCTCAACTTGGTTGGCCACCAACGCTGCATGCGAAAAATGAAAGCCAAAAGTCCCCCTATCAGTTTCCTTCCTAGCCTTATAGATTCCTACACTAGCCTAGACCGAAACTGGACTGACTGGACCTACCGGCACCGTTGCTGTTTCTCGGCCTCTCGGCCTCTACCGGACCCGGCTATAGGCTATAGGACCGTATACCAGTATAGGCCGCTTAGGGCCCGTCTGTCCTAGGGTAGCCCGGGCCTGCTATAGGCAGTTAGGGTAGTAGTAGGGATTCGGTTAGTTTAGGGCCTGTAGTCCCTCAGAATTACAGGTCTGTCCCTCGCGAATTTCCCAACAGCCAAATCACTCAGTTAGCCCTCAGCCAAACAAAATTGCGAATCTAACCCTACGGTTAGTGTACAGCCTCGCAGACAGACTCGGCAGCAGAAATCAGCAAGTCATTGCAATGGTGACATGAAGACATAAGCTAACAGATTACACAGCCAAATTAGGCTATAAACTATTTTCTACACTCATCTCGACCGCTACAATCGTGCAAAAAAGATGGCAAAAAGAGGAAAGCTCTCTCTCAGCATCCACCTCCAACCCCTCCTGGTCATCAGTATTCCGTGCAAAACCAGTTAAACTGGCAGGCCTACTATGGTTCATAACATTCAGAGCAGCTCCAGTAAACGACTGGCTAGCACAGAGAAGACGGAAAGAGGACAGATCCGAACAAACATTGTGGAGTAAAGTTGCAACTCTGAATCCAAAGAAACACCTAACCACTGCTTACTGGAATGCGAAAACTCCCAAATCCTCTGGTACAAGATTGAGAGAACCTGGAACAAACGCTCTAGCAAAGTAGTACAAATAAACCCAGGCACCATATTCCTGCAATCAGACTTGTCTCAACTTCTCTTGGCAGCATGCATGCATGTAGGTGCCAATGGCAAACAACTTCTTAGAGGCGAAGATCAGCAACAAACTTGCGATAACGCCTAGCGCCCACACAGAAAACTCAGAGATATGGCCTTCCGCCGGGAACACAGCTTAAGTCAACTTGTTGCATCTAGCAGCTATTGCCGCTGAATGCTGCCTGAGTTCCCACCCGTACAATGTATCCACCATCTTGCACTCCCTCACACACGCACACACACTTGAATCTACCCTGAATGTCCTTGCACTCACACACACACACACTACATCCTATCTGTTGATGTCAGCTCTGCGCGGCTATGGCCGCCGTCATCTTCGTCCTCGAGGTGGCTATGGACGTCGCCATCCACCTCTGCCCTCTTTGTCGTCGGGCACCTGCAGACCTCCAACGCACAAGTCGCACTAGCAGCACTTCCGCATGGCCCGCAGGCGAATGAATGAATAGCTGGGGGCTGCCTCTTTATTTATACCGTTTTGTCATGGTCTGGCGTGCCTCCTGTCCCAGGTCCAAGGAATGTGCAGCCCCACCTGGTACTTGCTGACTAGACAAGGTTGACTGGGACTGCAACTGGGACTGGACTGTACTTTTGCTGGCTCACCTACGGACGACTGACTTCTACAGCCTCGAAAGGTCAAGTTGATGATTCTAGAACCTCCTACGCTACGACCGACTGACCCTTTGCTATACTTAGCGCCAACCTCCCCCTCGCTGACTCAGCTAACCTACTGACTTCTGGAAGATCCTGGGCTAAGGGCTGGACAGACCCTTAGGACTACTAATCCTATAGTCTACAGTTCAAGTCCACACGACCCGAACTAAGAACATAACACACAGACATACAAGGGACAGGTCGTGGGTTCAAGGCACGCAGGGCGTCGGTAACTGTACAAGGGTATGGGATAGGTCTAGGGATCGAGCCCTGGGATCTGCACTTGCCGCATGAACTGGGTGAAGACCCTTTCATTCCTAGATATAGAAACCCCCCCTCTTCAAGGTTTTGACTTATTCTTCTTTTCGCAAATAAGAAAAGCGACCCTGTGGGCTATCTGGAAAAGGAGGTGTGAACAGACCTTTGAAGACAGCCCCACTAACACTGAAAACCCCCTACCAGTAAACAACTCATAGAATCGGAAATACATGCCTTGTGGAAGAAGACTCTGACCCAGATCGGAAATAACCCAGATATAAAACCAGAATTCATCCAAAGATGCAGCGCATCCCAACTAGGAGGAGGCAATCTAGGCATGATAGAAGCAAACGAACTGGTAATGAAAAATTAGCTAACATGTCACGCTAGCACAATCAAAGACCGAGCACCACCACGACAGACGCACAGACCACCACGACAGAAACAGACCACAACGTACCACAAGATAGAGCAGATGACAATATCTAAGCCAAAGAGGACCGTAAATAGTGGAAGTTCAAAAGAGAAAAAAGGTTCATAGTACCTTAGAACATTAAAGAATGACAGTCAAAAGAGAAAAAAGGTTCATGATACCTTAGAACATTAAAGAACGACATTAAAGAACGACAGACTAAGTCCTAAATTTTGGCTAATCCTTACCCCCTCAATCAATAACAGTACTTCTAACTACTCACTAACATCACAGTCACCAATGATCACCAATGCAAGTACACCCGAACCGACCACCCATCGCTTAAACCACCAGTACCTCTCCCAACTATGTACTCCGACCCTTGGGCGACCGGTCTGCCGAGCCTGCCGAGCCTGGAGGTAACAGTACCAGGACAGATAGGCTAAAGGATCCAGTAGGAAAAAAAAAGAAAAAGAAAAAAAAACATCAACAACGCTAGGGACGTGAATGCAGTTGGATACATTCTCTGAAGCGTAGTGTGACCACGCCCCCAGTGTGGGAGTCTCAGCCCCGTGGCCTTCTTGTCAGAAGCTATCAAGTAAAAGAAGGAAAAAAAAAAGAATTGTCGCCTTTCAGTCAGAATCTAGAAAGTGAAAGAAGGCAAAAAAAAAAAGGAAACACCGCTTTGGCCCTGAATTCGGTTGGATTCATTCATATAATTTCATATATGTGACAGTTTCAGTATGCCCTGAACGAGGGCGTTTCAGTAGATCACTGGATACGCGCTGCCATGCTGGCAGGGGAATATGAAAAATGGAAAAGAAAAAAACGTCATTCAGAGTCTCGCCGTTATAGTGGTGAGATACAGGGTGGAAAGAACCTACGTGAGCATGGCCTCTGTAACGACTTTCCCCGACGTCATCTTGAAACAGAGAGTAGATCTTTTTTTTTTTTTTTTTTGTCTTTGCACACCCAAGTAAGCAGCAACTGGCTGTTCATGTCCACGACCCCTGTCCGACGCGGGGTGTTAAAGGCCATGTCAGAACAAAATATTTGGGCGAGGTACTTGTGGTTTAACTAGAACCATTCCTCCAGTCAGCGAAACACTCACCTCACACGCCCTCCCGCTTCCCCACCTCTCCGCCTTCCACCCCCTCGAAAAATCTTACAACCCCTCAGACCCAATCACGCACCCAACTAATGCCACCAACCCAGAACTACTATCATTCCCTGGGATTATATCCCCCGCTTCCCACAACCCCCCCCCTCCATCGACACCCCAAACCGCATCCCAGAATCACAAGGCAACAGGAAACTGCCATAGAGCAATCTAGGGCTTAGGGTTCTGGGTATCCAGTACTTCCCAGTAGGTGCAACATCCTGGCTTTCGTATTTCCAACTTCAACAGTAAAGCTACCCTAGCCAAAAAAGGGGAAAAAAAAGGAAGAGGTAGAAAGAGATTCAGTGATGTCATAGGTCCTAAATTCGGAGTAATTTTAATTGTAGAACCCCTAGGGTTTAGGGTTTTAGCAAGAGCGACAGTTAGTGAGCCAAGCTAGCAACTCCGGTACGTAATGCAAATCTGACAGCCAAGTAGCTGAGAGCAACACGCTGGAAAAGGCCTTCACAGGTATGTTTCAAATAGCAAACAGACGTAGCAGAAGTCGGTCTAGTAACCAGTTTCAGAAGTGAAGTCATGCAGGCTAACTTAGGCAGGGGTGAGGGGTGGTATGTCCTTCCCATGGGAAGTAATCAATGGCGTCCACTCGGGCCTCTCAACCATAATGGGGAGGAGCGTGTGTGAGTAACCATTGCAATCTCTTCTGACTTGCCGGTGGAATAGGAACTGGACTGGTACTCTTCAGAATGGAAAGGAGCCAGAACCGTAAGGTTCTGTTTTTGTTTCAAAGAAAGAAAGAAAAAAAAGCAGATGCTGTGAGAATTTTGAGGTCTAGCTTTTCTATACTATTGGGTGCACGGACTTCTCTTCATAGGGTTGTGTTCTACCTATCTCCAATGGTATCAAGAAAATTCCAGCACTCATGCTTAGCTTCCCCTTGAGTCAAATGTGTCCAGAAACATGCAGCTGCTTTGCCTTACCAGAAGGAAGATGCACCCTCAAACAGTTATGGGATTGGGAGAATCTTGGTAATAAGAAGTAGACACGAATGGAAGATTAATGAAATTATGAGTAATCATGGTCAATGAATTCCAATATCTGGGCTCATTTGGATTTCTCCCTTTGGGCTTGTATGGTGTGACTCGCTTTCTCAGATTGCGGCGCTCAATAAACATTTAATTCAGAGGTATCTGAATGCTTTTCTCTGGGCTTGTACGGTGTGGGAAAATCGGAGTGCAGAGCACCGTTCAAGGGCGAATCCCCCGAAGGAAACTGGGCTCGGTACACTCTCGCCAAAGTCAAAGAAGGTCATTGCTACGAGGCCGGCATCTGCAAAAGCTCCAGGAGTGGCAGCAAGTCAACGCCCTGAACCTCGCCAACAGAACCCGATTTCTCCTCCTCCTCCTCCTCCTGGGAGTCCTAAGCCAACCTCCAATTTTGAAGAGTCTAAGGCATCCCTCAACGTCATCCCACCAGCGTCGCCACAACCTGCTGAGCTTGCCACGTCAGACGATGCTGCCGATGTCCCCGGACCGGATTTGGTACCAGAGCGAGCAGGTACTTTCTCGTGTTTTCTGCCTCTGCCTCCTGCACATCTCAAATATGATTGCTGGTCCATTCCAGGCCTAAGCTGGCTAGTTACACTCACTCCGTTACTGGTTGGACCAGCTCAACCCCCCCCCCCCCCCCCCCCCCCCCCCCCCCCCCCCCCCCCCCCCCCCCCCCCCCACTCTCTCTCTCCCTCTCTCTCTCCTCCTACCCCCCCTCCCCTCTCTCTCTCTCTCTACCGTTCGGTGACTGTGTGTGTGTTCCCTTCCAACCCCCCAGCCCCTTTACACACTCACTCCCCCAGACACGCACAGCCACGCAATCTGCCGTAAGGCAGACAGGCTCCTTAGAAGCCCAGCAGGCAGCAACACAATTGTGGCTAGCCTTGCACCACTCAAGTTTGCTGCAGTGAAATGACCATGTGAGCAAAAACATCACAGTCATATCAAAACACCAAATCATGATTGGAACAATGTTTTAATTTTAAAATTCCGATCTCGAACATCACAATCATTTCAAAACACCGAATCGTGATCGGAACAATGTTTAAATTTTTAAATTTCGATCTCTCGCTATTTTAGTATTTTCCTTTCTGATGCAAGCGGAGCTGCACTTTCAATACTTCCCATGTGTTCTCTCAAACTTCCCTTTTGCTTGAAACACTCATTCATACTTCGGTCCCAAATCCTCTTCCACTCCTCTCCGCATTTGTAATGTTTGAACTTTGAAACCTGCTTTCTGAGGAACTTTTGACAATCTCCTCCGCTTCCATTTGAGGTCGGTTGACTTCTCTCATTTAAAAAAAAAAAAAAAAAAAAAGAGAATTCTGTTACTGCATTACCACGGGGAGAAATGGCAATCACCAACCAAGTTGGAGGTCCTCTTCACAGATTTCCTCAAATGTCTTACGTTCTTTAATTTGATATGTGCATGCTCTATCACTCTTCTTCCCATTCTTTGCCCTTTACAGTGATTTCCTCTTCGACACTCGTGGAAACGTTCTCTCTCCACATGTGGATTTTTGTGAGTCAACCCCAAAGACTGTTTGATTTTCAGTTCTCTATCACCTCATCAATTTCGCCTTCTCTCTTCTTGGGTACAATTATCAATTTTTGTTTTTTCTCAAGTTTTCGGAACAATGTTCAATAGTTTCAGTTTAAATTGCTTTACGTCTACCGAATTTTGTATATGAACTTTGTTTGCTCTTCTTCGCGGGAAATGGAACCTGATCATTGCGATTTCCTGTCGTTCCGTCATATTTCAATATAGGAGAACAATCATGGACCAGGTGAGCACTCCTGTTCGTGACATTGCTACCGTCACTTACTTTGTGGTCTTCAGTGTGTGATTTTCTTTCCCTGTTGCAGTCATGCCTCCTGATGTTTCTGCCCGTATTTGCCCTTATTTGCCTTGTATGCCCGATTGCACGTCAAATAACTTTCTCCAGTGGTCACAACATTGCCTCTTCTGTTTTCTGATCAGCCACCTACTCTCCGGCATTGTCCCAGTCATTGCATCATCCACCATACTCGTTTCTGACACAGGGGCAGCTACACTCGCTCTCCCTCTCCCCCTCGGCCTTCTCTCTATCTGTCTCTGTCTGTCTCTGTCTCTGTCTCTCTGTATATATTGTCAAACAGTGGGGTCGGGCCGACCCCCGAACGTTCAGCCGACCGGGGCGGGGTTCGGACCCCGTCCGACCCGGGGTTCGGTGGCCTTTTTTTTTTTATTTTAGATACAGCAACACCTAGCGCACCTACCTCTAAATTTTCGTATTATTCTGTAGAGTACTAGAGTGTTAAAAAAAAAAAAAATCTTAGAAGGTAGGGGTTTGAAAATTTCCGGAATCCCCCCCCCATTTTGTCGTTTTTTATTTCTTAACCTTTTTGTGTATGTTTATTGATGGAGCGGAACGTTCAGTCGACCGGGGCTGAGAGAGAACTGCTGATTCAGGAAAGGGAACATGAATTGCAGCAGCGGCTCCTTATAAAGAAAAGGGTGGAGCTGGATGAGAAGAGGAGGTTAAAATCTGAGGGGGAAAAGATTGAACACCAACTGAAGGAACAGAAAGGCCGTGAGGGAGAGTGGAAGGACGACCGTACCCTCATGATTAATGCCTTGCAGCACACTAACCAGGAACTCGCCGCCTTAAACAAGTTTGTCGTCCAACTCTAACAGCACAATCATGAGTTCAAAGCCACTTGGAACAACTACCTAAGTGCCGCTGCCCACCGAATAGATGAGTGTGTTGGGGGTTATGCACAACAATTGGAAGGCATCTAGCCCAGCTCCTCACCGTATGGCGCACCGGTCCTGTTCGTGCCTCAAAAGGAGGGCGAACTGCGCATGTGCATTGACTATAGGGGTTTAAATGCGATAACAATGAAGAACACAGAACCGTTGCCTCGGATAGATGATCTGCTACAAAATGTGCATGTGCATTGACTATAGGGGTTTAAATGTGGATAGGGTGCAGGGATGCAAGTATTTTTCCAAAATTGACTTGAAGTCGGGCGACCATCAGATAGCGGTACAACCCGAAGACCAACACAAGATGCCTTTTAGAACTCGCTATGGCCGCTACAAATTTGTGGTCATGCCATTTGGTATGGCGAATGCACCTGGTACCTTCCAAAGATGCATGAACGATCTCTTTCGTGAATGGCTAGATAAGTTGTAGTCGTTTATCTATATCATATTTTGATTTTTAGTAAAACTTCAGAGGAGCACCAGAAGCATTTGCGTTTGATTTTAGATAAGCTGCGTACTGCGAAGTTCAAATTGAACCCAAAAAAGTGTGAATGGACAAAGCGTCAAGTACTGTATCTATGCCATGTATTGGATGGAGATGGAGTCAGACTGGAAGACGTGAATATAGCAGCAATTAGGGATTGGCCAACACCGCACACATTGACCGGACTGCAGTCGTTCTTAGGACTAGTCAATTACTACCGAAAGTTTGTATGGCACTTTACAATGATTGTCGCACTGTTGCGCAAACTGCTGAGGAAGGAGACAATTTGGAATTGGGACAAAGGTTGTTCCTCAACCTTCAAGAAATTGAAGAAGTCCTTGATTGAGTACCCGATCTTGAAAGTTGCAGACCAGTCACTTCCGTTCATTGTCACGATTGACGCAAGCCAATATGGAGTTGGCGCCGTACTCCAGCAGAAAGATGGAGAGGGGTAACGGCCCGTCGAGTTCATGTCTTGCAGATTGCCCAGTGAGAAGGTCGCTGCGTCGATGTATGAGCGCGAGCTGTTCGACTTGAGGAAGGCACTGGACTATTGGCGACACTATCTCCTAGGAAGGCACTTTTAAAGTTTATTCTGACCACGAGACCCTCTGCTGGTTAAAAACCCAGGCCTGGATGAGCCCTAAATTTACGAGGTGGGTTGGGGAGATAGACCAGTTTGACTTTGAGTTGAAACCAGTCAAGGGCAAATACAGCGTTGTCGCAGACGCGTTGAGTAGACGCACAGACTTCTTCGGTGCCATCTTGACTTACCTAGATGCAGGTGCCGAGCTACAGCAGCAGATCAAGGCTGCGTACATTGACAATCTTGTTTACAGTGAGCTAATTAAAAGCCCGGAAACTGCACCACACGAAGTCCCGGACTACAGAGTAACCAACGGACTACTGTTCGAAAAAACAGACAGGTTTGACAAACTGTGCATCCTGAACAACGAGACAGTCGAAAGTCTGATGCTGGGAGAGTGCCACGACACTGAGGGCCATTTCGGTTGGAGAAAAACCTATGCTAATCTCCTTCGGTCCTACAC